GTGTGTGTGTGTGTGTGTGTGTGTGGTGGGTATGTGAGCACACAGACGTTGGTGCTGGTGTACCGAGAGCGGGAATGTATCTGTGAGTGTACGTATAGATACTTAGTACAGGGCACACGGCTCTCTACGCGCCTGCTGAGGGCTTTGGGTATGGATGGGATCTTGCAGGAGTTTCACCCTGCTCCACAGTGACCCCTTCCCTATACTTCTGTTTATAGGGGTGGGAGGCCGGGGCCTTGATTGGACCCAATAGGGCCAAATAGTTTGCGATCCTAACCGGTTAGATTTGCTCACTGGCTACCCCAGAGATGATAAAGGATGTATTTGGCCACAGTCTAGATGATGAAATGAGATAAACCCTGCGCAGTGAGTGTTTCGATAGGATCATTATTTGCTCCATAAATGTCAATTTTGGATCATTAAACTACCCCTTCCTTGCTCTTGGCTTCTGTCTCTTCTGGCTGCCGCCGCCCTTATGCTTACCTCATCTTCATTCTCTAAAGCTTCCCCTGGCCCAGGTGGAGGATTTACCATGGAAGGTGTCTGGCCCTGCTGGCTGCAGCAGCCCTCACAGACCCGTCCGTTCTCTACACTTGGCATGAGCCAAGAGCACTGGGGCAGTGGGCCTGGGCAGCCCTTTAAGTGTCAGCTAATCCCAACCGTTTTGACTATAGTAATTGGAGATAATAGAGAGTGAAGGTGGTTTATTTGGGACTGCACAGCAAGTTGGCCACCAAACCAGGATAAGAATCTAATTGGGGCTGGGCGCGGTGGCTCAAGCCTGTAATCCCAGCACTTTGGGAGGCCGAGGCAGGTGGATCACGAGGTCAAGAGATCGAGACCATCCTGGTCAACATGGTGAAACCCCGTCTCTACTAAAAATACAAAACATTAGCTGGGGCATGGTGGCGCGTGCCTGTAATCCCAGCTATTCAGGAGGCTGGGGCAGGAGAATTGCCTGAACCCAGGGGGCGGAGGTTACGGTGAGCCGAGATCACGCCATTGCACTCCAGCCTGGGTAACATGAGTGAAACTCCGTCTCAAAAAAAAAAAAAAAAAAGAATCTAATTGGAACCTGCTTGACTATCTTCTGCCACTCTCTGGGGCTCAGAGACCCTGGGGCCAAGCAAGGGCTCAGTCAGAGCCAGGGGATCTACTTCTGCCTCCCTGCTGCCCCTCAAGGGCTTGGGATGGCGACACACCATGCTTGGCCTCTCTAGGGATCCACACAGCGGATTTGTTAGATTCTTCTTGGCTCAGAGGGACAGCTCCATTGTGTGTGTGATTTGGCAGAAAACCATGCACAGTTGAGTGGTGGGCTTCTACATAAAGGTGTGTCTGCATCTGTTGCACATTGTGTGTGTGTGTGTGTGTGTATGTGTGTGTGTGCGCGCACGCACACACATGGATACATGTATAGGTATGTGTATGTGTAGTGCAGCCCACAACCAGTCTGTGAGCTGTGCTCTACCCCATCCCAGGGTGGAGACACACAGGTGTAGTTAGAGTGTAGGGGATACAGGGAGCAAGGTGGGCAAGGAAGCCCAAAAGACTGACAGAGGCTAGTGTGCCTGGCGAAGAGAGTTGACTTCACGTTGACGGCAATGGCAAACCTCATAAAGATTTTGGCAGGGAGTAATGTCATGAAGCTGTTTTGGGACTTTGATGCTGAGTGCCTCCTTACTACAGAGGGTGAAAGGTGAGGGCATGCAAGGAGATGGAAGGGATTGCAGGTAGGAGAGGTGTATTACCAAGCTCTGAGAACGCTCTCCCCCTCTGCTGCGCAGCCTCAGCTCCAAAGCCTTTAGCCAGCCCAGGGAACCCTTTAGATGCCTGCCTTGGAACCAAGGCTGAAAGCCCTGGCTCAAATACTCCTGGGAGTCACTGAGCCCCTCTGTCTCTGGGAATGCCATCAGGGCCTTGAGGATTTGGGGGGCAGAGGCTGGGCAGCTAGTGGACACTTTGGTGGGCATAGGGACCCCACTCATGTAGGATCTCATCAGGGTGGCAGTTAAGCGGCTTGAAAGGAGCACTGGATTAGGAGTCCGGTGGTAAGTCCTTGTCCTGGCCTTCCCACCTTCCTTTCTCCAGGGCTGTTTTCTCATCTGTTTAATGGGGGCACCATCCTTGCCCTATTGCCTCTTTAGGGAGGTATCAGTGGCAGGTGGATCTGTGTGGAAAAGCTCTGTGCAAGTGGGGACCTCAGGGAGGGAGAGAAAGAGGGGAAAGGTATTGGTCTCTTCCAAGGAGAATCTCAGGAAGCTCTTAGCTCAGGGAGGTCCTCTTCTTTCATGGCAGGACCAGAGTTAGAGCCAGCAGGACCTTAGTGCTCACTGGCTGAGGCTGAGTGAGTGACCTGCTGGCCTCTGGCACTAGATAGGCACCAGCAGGGAATGGTATTTGAGTCTTTAATGGCTGGTAGGGTGTACAGTGCCCTGGGAGGTCACGGAGCTGATGGATGATCAGGTGGAGTCAGAGTGAGCTGAGCTGCCTGGAAGAGAGCCCCCTAATGTCTCTGGAAAATGGGGAGGACAACCTGCCTCCCTCTGGGTCTTGGTCATGTATGAGGGACATGATGAGGCCCAGGCCGCGGTGAGGGAGGACTGGTTCGACCCCAGGCCAGAATCCCTAGCTAGGTGGGAGGATTGGGATATGCTGGGGGGGGTGGGTGGGAGGGGGCGTGCAAGGGTGGGGGACACACACACCCTAGGTGATGGGGAAGCCAATGACCTAGGCAGGCTGCTGTGTGAGCGATAGGAGCATGGGGCTGTCATGAGCTGTGCCCAGGCTGGGAGGGCTTTCTCCCCAAGGCTGTGGGCCAGACCTCTCCCCAGTAACCACTAGGGCCAGTTCTGAGGCTTTGCTCTCCACTTCCCCTGACTCAGGCTGCTTTGTAGTGGCTGGAGGAGGGTGGGCTGGGAGTTGACACTTGACTTGCCACCAGCTCATGTCCATGGCTCTGATTCCACCTCTCTAGACATGTTGCTCCCACCCCAGGGGTTGAGGGGAGCAGGGGTTGCAGCAGGTGTGGCTGCTGCCTTGCTCAGATGAGGAGGTTCTGGCCAAGGGAAGAGGGCAAGACAGTTGGGTCCTGGAAACAAGTGCCCCATCTGCCCAGTCCTATGGGGCCACTGCCCTTAGCAGCTCTGC